AAAATTGAAAATAATGGGGCAGTTGGATCTACTGGAAAATATCTGTATGTTATTTGTACATGCATGGAACAGGTTCAAATGGCATTTACCATGCAGTATATATCCAAAAGAAATTAACTGCCACATCTCTTTTGCATTAATTTTTTTCTTCTGTATGGCAAAGCAGCCATTTTCCTGGTTACCCTGAGCTTGCCCATTAGAAAATATTACTATTATAAGACATGAAATACATTGAAGATTTAATCTCTTCTAACAGCTCAAAAGTCTTGTGTTCTTCCCTTCCCCCCAACTGAAGAGGCTCTGTGTAGCCTGTCTGCCTATTCCACCATCTTACTGCAAATCATCTGTTCCTTTTTTTGTAAAAAAACAAAAAACAAAAAACACCAACACTTTATTATAAACCAAAACAGACAGGAAACCACACACATACACAAATGCACGCACATACTATATATTATATACACACACACATAATAAGATTTTAGAAAGCAAATACTCTTATAATCCTGCACCCAGGTCAAGAAATGGATCTTTTCCACCCATCCCAGAAGCCTCTCCACTCACCTCATTCAAATCACAATTCCCTCTTTTCCCTCTAAAAGTTAACTCTATACTGCCTTTCACATTAATAACCTCCTAGAGTTTTTTTAAAAAATATTATTATAGCTTTATTATCCAAGTGTATGTTCCTAAACACCACAGTTGTCTATTTCACATTTTTTATTCAGTGATTTTTAGTAAATGTAGAGCTGTGCAACCATCATCCCAAACTAATTTTTAAAAATTTCTATCAACCCCAAAAGATCTCTTGTGCCCATTTACAGTCACTCTCCATGCCTCCTCCTCCTAGCCCATGTTGTTGTTGATGCTATGTGCCATCGAGTCGGACCTGACTCATAGCGGCCCCTCCTTGGGTTTCCGAGGCAGTATCACTACATAAGTAGATTGTCCAATCTTCCTTCTGAGGAGTGGCTGGTGGGTTTGAGCCACCAGCCTTCCGGTTAGCCGTCAAATACCTTAGGCACTACACCACCAGAGCTCCTAGCCCATGGTGATCACTAATCTACTTGTATTTCCATGTTGTTTTGTTTAGTTGCCCTCAAGTCAATTCAGATTCAAGCTGACCCTATGTGTTATAGATTAGAAGTGCTCCAGAAGGCTTTCTTGGCTGTAATCCTAACAAAAGCAAATGGCCAGGCCTATCTTCCATGGTACCACTGGGTGGGTTTGAACAGTCAACTTTTAGGTGAGCAGTTGAGTGCAAACTGTTCACACCACCTAGGGATCTCTATCTCCATAGATATTTCTTTTCTAGACATTTCAAATAAATGAAATCATACATTCAGTGGTCTTTTGTGACTGGCATTTCACTCTGAATGTTTTTGAGGTTACACTGATGTGAAAATATTTTGATATTTTAATCTACAAGTTTTCCCCAATCCCTTTCTTTTCTTACAAATTATCTGTTAAAGAAGTTGGTGTATTTGACCTGTAGTTAGTTTCCCAAACTCTGGATTTTCCTGATTGCACAGTCATGATGCAGTTCAACATGGTCATCTGTAGTTCCTGCAGATTGGCAGTTGAATATAGAGACTTTATCTGACTCATTTGATCCCTTTGACATGATTATAGGTGATACTGTGTTTCTTCATCAGGAGGCATGTAATATCTTTGTCTCATCTGCTGTGATATTAACAGCTGTGATGTTGCATGCCTAGGGCCACTAATACTAGGGTGTTAAAAATGGTGACACTCTTAATTTTACCATTTCTTTCTTATTTAGTTATCCAATAGAAAATACAAGATAAATGCCTGATTCTCTTTATTTGTCACTTCTCAAGATAATAAACTGGTTGGTTTCCTACCATCTTCTTCTGAAGTTGAACAGTTTGTTTTTGTTTTAAAATATCTCACAGATTTAAACATATTTGATGGGCTTCAATCAATTACAATTATTCTTTTAAAATATTTAAATAATCATTTAACTTTAGAATAGTTAGATATATAAAAATAATTAAGATAGTTCAGAGAGTTCTAATGTGTCCCACATGCAGTTTCCCCCATTGTCAGGAGCTTACGTTACTATGGGTTCTGTGTCACAACTAATGAATCAATACTCACTGAAAAACAAACCCACTGACGTTGAATCGATTATGACTCATAGCAATCTCCACTAGGATTCCAAGGTGGTACATCTTTATGGAAGTAGATGGAGCAGTCTTCCTTCCATGGAGTGGCTGGTGGGTTTGAACCATCAGCTTTATGTACTCATTAGCAGTCAAATGCCTTAGGTACTGTGCCACCAGAGCTCCTTAATGAACCAATACTGGTACATAATTAATAACAAAAGTCCATACATTATTCGGATTTCCTCAGTTTTTATCAAATGTCCTTTTTTTGATCTAAGATTCCATCTAGGATATCATGTTAATGTACCTATCATGTCTCTTTAGTCTGCTCTGGTCTATGACAGTTTCTCAGACTGATCTTGACATTTTGAGCAGTAACAATCGGATATTTTGCAGAATGTCCCTCAATTTGTTTGTCTGACATTTCTTTCATCATTAAACTAGGGTTATAGGTCTTGAGAAAGATTACCACAAAGGTGAGGTGCCCTTCTCACCACATCATAGCAAGGGTACATGATATCAACAAAACTTATCTGGGCAGCCAACATGGTAGACTAGGCAGATATACTATTCAGACCCTCTTTAAAGAAAAAAAAAAGGAGAGGTTCCAGTAAGATGGTGGAACAGGCAGTCAGAATGCACAGACCCTCTTCAACAAAGAAAAAGGGAACCAATTAAAACAGATACAGAAGATAATCCTGGAGTCCTGAGCTTTGAAGGGAAGGACACAGAGAAGTGGACCAAACTCCAACTAGTGGAAGAATTTGCATGAAAACACCAAAAAAGGAGACATACGGAGCTGTGGTCTGGCAGCGATACTGATGGCACAGACAGCTTGGATATTGCCAAGTGGTGTTAGGACCTAAGAATTAACCTAAAAATCGGCCCTGCTAGCCAGGGGCTGCATGAAGGAATGCACTGGTGACTGGGGAATAAAAGGTGAAGCAGCGACAAGAAAGGTGGGCTGAGTGTGAACTTTTGCCTGCCTAGAGGGCACAATCATTTTGAATGTTTACAAGCAGTTCGAACATTTTGGATATTTAAAGCAACAGTGTTCTCCCACATTCCAGGGATATAAGAATAGGCTCCACTTGCCAGGAACCACAAGGACATTCGGGATGCCAATAACTGGAAAGGT